TGAGCCACATGTCTAACACACGGTAAACAAATTGCCTTGCGAAGAACGTTTAGTAGATCAAGGCCCCTTAAACTTCCAAGGTAACGTAAAACGAAGAAACATCGTACAATTTGCTTGTTCTTGATTTGGTTTACTCCCAAACCTCCCTGCAGACACCCATCACATCCCTCTCGAAGCCGTCTTCACATGGAGGGTACCTCGTGAAGAACAACACGTTGTTTACCGGCACGAACCGATTTGGCTTGATGTTACGTATCACCTCCTGAAAAGAGAAAAAGTCGTGATCATTATCATTCATCGATTTTAGATCGTACCACCTGCGGATAAGGGCTATTCTTAACTGATAAGATAATCCAACTTTATGATACGAAAATGACAGAGATGATCCTATAGTCGTCTGTGTGTTCTTATTTTAGATTTAAAACCGACTTCAAAAAAGAGAAGGACGTTCTCAGTTCGACTTATATTTATATACTAGCTACTTCCGCGCGGTTTCACACGCTCTACTCAGGTCCTATTAGTCGTAGCGTGATGTTTTATAGCCATCCTCGATAAATGCGCTATCCAACACAAAAAGAATTATTCAAATCAGACTTGTGGTTACGGAGATTAGCGCGTTCAAACAAACAAACAAAAAAACAAACTCTTCCGCTTTATATAATAGTATAAGATGTATGTTTGTGCGGAAGTATCTCGCGATTGGCTGAACCGATTTTGATACGGTTTTCATAAAAGTGTTTGTTACAGTTAGGAGAATGTTTTATGTCGGAATACTCAAACGTTACTTAGAATTAAGTCGCGCTTAAGTGACATGACAGAGATGACATAATATTAAGTGCCTACAACTTAAAATTGAGTTGCCTTCTAGAATTCCTATATTCATTAAGCGAGGTTAAAAAGGAGGGGAGTAAAGTCGGGTTTTTCATGTAGTTTATAAAAAAAATATTACAATAACAAAGTTAAGTATCACAAAGTGGGTAGGTAATATATAAATCTACTTTGTATGATTAAAATTATTTATGTGAACGATTTGGACTGATACGATAAAGATAAGCGTTTATAAAAACAACAATATAAAATACATATGGTCAGTTACAAGTTGCAAGTACCTACATTCAAGGAAATATATTATCTTCAAGGAGTCTGTATGATAAGTATCGTGAATGATAAGGCAAGGTCTTAATAATTGATCTGAATCCGTAATATCTGGACCGATTTTTTTATTTTTTTATATTCAGGTCGTTGCTAACTTGGCCGTATAAAGAGAAGTCAAGAATTGTTTGCAATACTAGCGATACTTAATGTTTTTTTTCTTTAACTAGCGACCTAAACCTTCCTTAAGAATCACTGTATCTATTAAAAAAACTGCATCAAAATGCATTGCGTAGTTTTAAAGATCTAAGCATACATAGGGACAGACAGACGGCGTATAGAGACTTTGTTTTTTACTATGTAGTGATTAGTGATGGTTTTTAATCCACATGGATATGGTACTTAATGTACCTATGAATAAAACTTATCTATTTTTTCTTTTTAGGACAAAAGCATGACATTTTTACGTTTAAGTATTCTTATAACATTTAATCAATAAGTAGTTTTTCAAAACTATCAGACGAGTAAAGGGCCATGTTCATCACCTACCCCTAAATCATATCTTAATTAAGAGTTACTAAGCGTGACGTAGCACTTGTACAATTAGGTGTCACTTTAATAGGTTGGTGAAAAACAAAATCTCGTTATAAATGTCATCTATTTTAGCTTAGAAATCTCTTAATAGGAAGAGGTCGGTGAGAACGAGCATTACTTGTCTGCTGAGTGGGTAAGTAATCAATAAACTACAATTTGATTCTCTACTTCTATCAGGAATATGGGGATTTGTATGTGGTTATGGTCAGTAAGGGGCTATTAAATAAATGAATGGTTGATATTGTAATATTAATATAAGATACCTAACATTTTCGTGCAATTAGGACAATAAAACGTTATAAACTTTAGTAACTAAAAATAAAATTTGTACTTACAATTGGCATGCCGTCAATGTCTGTGAAAATCGGTTCGCTATCGTTGATCTCATCTTCCTCCGTCTGTGCTACACTCTTCGGGTGTATATGCTTGGCATAGCCAAGAACAAATACTAAGGACAATACTACTAATAAAAGAAACTTGGCCATCGTTGCTAAAGACTTTTGTCAAACGTGTATCGCTATCAAACGCTCACAATTTGTTTGGTGCTGGAAACATTCTTGCAGCCTTTTAAATGTTGTTCTGTTATCTTTGGGATCGACACCCTACGTCACAGATACGCAAGAGCCGAGCTGACTGGCCCGTTATTTGTTTAGACTCGACGCAAATGTAAACACTCGATCAGGGGGATCGACTGTTTACTTCACTGCCACACGTCACGCCAGCCTTCCCAATGTACAGTTCTTCTGAATCTTACGCAACTTTATTCGATTGCAGGAAGGATAAAACCAATATTAAACGTGATAAATACGTAATACGTGCAGTTTTGCATGTCATGCTCAATTAATTCTCACGACTTTTGGTTGTAACACCCGGATTTACCATAGGGAAAATGAGCAAGCGCTCTAATTTGAAAATAGCATTTGAAAAGGAATATGAGATTATGAAGATCATTTTGAAACTGAGACTTGCCTCTGTACCACTCTGATGTGACAATACCAAAAAATAAATAAATATTATATTTACTGTACTCTATATATACCTAATACATATTACTTTTCGACTCCCCCAATTATCTAATTTAATTTGAGTTATCTTGAACAAGGTGACATCAAAATTTTCATTAAAAAAACCAATTAATATGTAATCTAGATCAACTACGAACCTTCCACATAGTACATAGGTGCAAAATTATAACCTCGATTTTTAAGTAGGTCTCATAAAACTGTTATTATAGGTACAAGCTATGGCACAGTCCGGCAAAATAAGTAAATAATTACCTGTATTGGATATTATGTATTATGTCGCATGATCATGAACATATACCTATTAATATTGTCATTAACAGGCTTGTTAACAATGATATATTATCAATTTACAGTTGTTAACCCTGGTGAAGGTAGTTTATTATCCTCGTCACTTCTACATGTGCATTCGATATAAAAATCAACTTTGTTTGCTCGTCTAGGGCGGCGCATATCAATAATCGGATTGATGACTATGTATAATCGATTGCTCTATAAATTTTATCTTTATCCAATCTATATAAAATAAATCTATATAAAAAAAATCCAATATAAATATCCAAACTATCTTCTGCAATTTACTATCTTAAAAAATATTAGCTACATTGTACATAGGTTTCTTTTTTCTGCGGCGAATTCTCTACTAACCTCTATCTTTCGAACATTTAAGTTTATTGTGCTCGTGTGTAGGTATATATATTATAATGATGTTTCTTTATGTTTATCACTAAATATGTAAGTGTATCTATTTTAATTACTCAATTAATTCGTTGCTTGCTTCTTGCTCACACCATTGACTCTTCTCTGCATCACCCAAAGGTCAGACTGGGAGAAAATGCCTGCGGCATTAAGTCCACCTTATGTACATTTTGTGCATGAAGCTTAAATAAATAAATAAATAAATTTAAAGCAAGTAAGATTATAACAAACTACTATAATCCTACAGATACTCTAGTACCTAATAACAAGATTAATCTCAATTATTCATTGCTTCATACAGTAGAGATAACTTGCAAAACATTTTCATTTAAAAACACCTTTTAAAATTATTGTTAACCTGTTAAATCTGAAGTAATCAGTACGATGATTATTATTATACAATGTGTAATAGTAAACAAACAAACATAAACAAATCAAGGAAGATTTTCAGAAATCCATTTACATGTACTACAAGGTCTACAAGACTTATTGTGTTTAATCACATTCTAAGAAATCTTAATTCATCAATACTATCTGTTCCAAACATAGATACGTATCAGATATTACCTATTGCAACACACGTATCTAATCGACCAAATATTGCGCATTGTGACATAGTGATTACTATCTATCGTAAATTCGTTGAAGGTAATATATTAAAGTTGTAAACACTAGACACGTTCGAGGAAGACACTGTTTATTTTTGTACACATTTTTCTAAGAAATAAAATCGCGCCATTGTATGTTACTAACCTCGGACAAAGTAAACAGAAGGAAAAGTCGGACCATATTGTACAAAATACTAAGAATAATATTATAAGTAAATACATATTCAATAAACTGGAGAGCCATGCTTCGGCACGAATGGGATTCAGTCGTCAGTTTTCTGTGACTTGACGTGAATCAACGCTTGCGTTGTGTTTCATCATGTGAGTGAAGTTACCAGAAGCCCAATTACAGGGGGTAATTGCGCTTTTGCCCCCTTCCCCTTCCCCAATCTCTCCAATCCCTGAATCCCCAACAGTCCTCAAACTCCTAATCCCCTAAAGGCAGGTAAAGCACTTTTAACGTCTTTGGCATTCCTAATAGGGGGTGAACCTATTGCCATATAGGTACCGGGCACAATTTCAGACTCCGTGCTACTACTGAGATTTTTTTAAAAACCCAGTAATACCGAACCCGAGACCCCTTGCCCAGCAGTTGCACTTGCGACCATTCGGCCAACGAGGCAGTCAATTGTTTCATTTTTTTATAGAATAGGAGGCAAACGAGCAGGCGGATCACCTGATGGTAAGTAATCAGCGCCGCCTATGGCCCATGGACACCCGCAACACCAGAGGAGCTACAGGTGCGTTGCCGGCCTTTTAAAAAGGAATACGCCCTTTTCTTGAAGATTTGAAGGTCGTAACAGTTCGGAAATACCGCCGACGACAGACCATTCCAGTTTTTCTATAGCGTTAACGATTTGTAGATAAAACAGAAGAAAATTTTAAATTTGTAATGAAAACAAAATACATATTAACGAAGTAATACATAAAACAACAAGTATAGCTTTCCTCAGCATATTCACGTGAGTAACCCGCAATTTTTAGTTAAGTAAGATACATATTTATGAGAATCCTCTCTGATTCATATTCGATCACATTTGGGGAACTCCTCAATTACAAAAACAAATATTTAATTACTCTTAATGCTATGGTACACTGTAATAGTCCATGTGTGACTCATTAATACTGATGATATGCCGCCGTCTGATGCATTGCAGGTTCGTTCCCATCACCTCTCCTTTGGGACACCGGGGCGTATCTGGAAAGATATTTACACAGATATTATATCCTATTTCTTTGACATACCAGCTTTACTATGTACAAACTCTATTCCAATTCCTCTTCAAAAATGTTGTTCAGAAAAGGCGAAAGTAATGTTAATTCTTTGTATAATTGACATGTTTGACTTCTAGAATACAGGTTTTTTCCTAGTTTAGAAGTCAGGGTCCTTTTGCTCTCTGGCCACAGCCATGATCTTGGAAATGTAAAAAATTGTGGTCTCCCTAGTAATAATAAAGGTTTTTATTATTCTTTTGTTATATTTAATCTCTGCACTAAGGAAATTACATGAAATCATATTACTTAATAAGAGAACACACGAAAACTAATAACAATTTAAAATCCATCAAAAACTTGTAATGAAAATCATTAACCATTTTAAATCTGAAACTTACAATAACCTCTCAAAATTAATAAAGAGATTAAAAGCTCAAAAACAAAAAAAATTAAAAAATGTTGTTTCGGGTGGTGTCATGTATAAACGCAACCACGACACAGGAGGAAATCCTAGTGTGAAGCAAAGATTAAAAAAATTAAATAAAGAAGTTTTGGGTCAAGAAAAATGCATTATAATACATATTGAAATTAGAGGTATGTCCTACTCGCTTTTACCCTGCCTGACTGCCTCGTTGGCCGAGTAATCGCAAGTGCGACTGCCGGGCAAGGAGCCTCGGGTTCGATTCGGGTTTTTAAAAAAAATCTCAGTAATAGCACGGAGTCTGGAATAGTGCCCGGTATATGGCAATATGCTCACCCCCTGTTACATACTCATACTCTGTTGGGACTCATAACATAAATAGTGAAAAGTGGGTGTCTT